ATCAGTTAAGGACATAAAGACCCTGCACATGAAAATAAAGCTCAGATAAGTCCCTGCCATCATATAACACTCAAATGACTTGTTTTAGTTTATTTATCAAATTTTTACCCCCTTTCATCCATCACTGCTTCCTTGCCCCCTTGTCAGCCCTAAAACACACTCATCCAAGGAATAAAAAGGGGAGAAAAGCACAGCCAAAACTACCTTCATTATACAAAATTGTTAATTGAACCAAGGACTCCAGCCATAGTCCAAAATTCCTGCAATCGCACATCAAAGGTGACAAAAAAGAATGGAGAATAGAATTGAGGAAAGAATGGGAAAGGAGAATTAGAAGATATTATGGCTGCCGAGTCTCTCTCACCATCTCTTCCTCACCTTGGAGTCAGATGTTAGAACACTCCCTGCCACCACTAAACTCTTCCACCTATTTCCTTGTCACTGGCAGTCTAGACTAAGTAAATAAAGACAACTAAGAGCGCATGAACTGTAAATAGAAAATAGAAAACAAAAAACTAAAAATCAGTCTAAAATTCAAATATTAAAAGAAAATAAAAATTAAGTTAAATAGCAACTAAGTTTTAGCAAACAAAGGTTTACTCTTGTCTCTTGTTTTCTTTTCATAGCTTTATCTCCCCTTGTTTGACAATTACCTCCCTACAAAAACAGAACTATCCATAAAATCTAAGCCACCCAGACAGGAAAATGAAAGATAAAGAATAAGATATTTTTAAATAAAGAAGCTTAAGAGTCGTACCAATAAATCAAGAGTTTGATTGATGCATCACCATTTTACACATTGAAGAAAAAAATTAGATTCTAACATAAAAGAGGATGCCAAGTGATCAATGTCATGATCAACCCCATCAGAAATAAAATTGTTGTCAAGTTCAAGGGATGATATGATATGAAGACTGATAATTAATCTCATACAGTACATGAATCAGTATAGTTATGATATTTAATAATCCAAAAATGTTGATCAAAATGGATGATTAACCCCAAGAAGATAAATTAAGTGAGAAGAAATGGATTTAGATATTCAATTTCCAAATCAATAAATTTGACAATTTAGTTCATATAAACTGGAAAGAAAACATAAAAACCGACCAAGGCCCATGGCTTCTCGTACAACTACAAATCTAAAAAGAAAAGGGTTGCCCTAAACCACATGAAAACCATGGCTTAAAAAGTGAACTCTTTTTGATGACTAAGATGATAATAAAACCATAGAAGGATGTAGACCCAATCATGAAATGGTCTTTATTCTCTGTAACAAATAATTAAAGTAAAGCCCTCAATCAATGTAATATCAAAGAAACCCACCCATCATCAATTTATTTGCCTAGCTATGGGTGCTAAGTTGCCAGAAAGCATAAAAAAGGAAAAAATCTGCAAGTTAAAATGTCAAGTATGAAACTATAGAAGTAACTAAAAAGAAGAAAATGAGAAGAAGATGCTACCTTTGAACCCTCTTCTATCCTCTGTAGATGAGAGATAAAAAACAGTGAAACCACAACTTCTGTTTCTCAGGCATTCTCAGTTGTGATGAAGACAGTGCTGGAAAAGAGTAGAAAATGATAGAAAGTTGCCACTGGCACAGTTTTTTTATTTCTTAAACACAGCGAGCAATGGAGGACCTAAAGAAGAAAAGAGAGAAATCA